GATTGATATTTTTTTAATAAATGTTCTGGAAAAATGAAAATACTTGGCACTGCATCACACTTTAATAATTTAACTCTGGCTCCAGGGCGTATTTGATAATCAGTGTCCAAAAATTGTTACTGCATAATTTGCTACTTTTTGTTGGTGTCCAGTCCTCCCGCCTTATGGCATTGATCCACATTGACATGATTTCAGGTCTTTTAAACCATAAATGAAATTGAATATTACTATTCTTATTATGCACATTATTACATTGATATGCCACACATCCCATAACCATGTTTGCAAATTTAAAAACAGTGCTTTTTGAACAAAAATAAACGAAATATATGACGCGGTATAAAACTTAGCATATAAGCACATGTGATGAACACGACGCGGAATACAATACAAATACTCGCTACGGCCCCTCGCTGTTTATGGGCGATGCCGTTCCAGTTAGTATATAGTTCAATGCCTGTGGGCCATTCCCGAAGGAAACGCGTACGGAGGCAGTCCGGGGGTATTCAAAAAGAAGGCTACCGACGCCACGCCACGCCATTTTCCTTTTATGACCGAGGGTCGGATTTCAAGGAAATCCAGTTTTTTCCGAAGCATCCTTGCTCCTTGATCCCCAGGGAAACCGGTGAACCTACCGCGGAACTATTGTGCCCGTCCAGAGACAAGATTATTTGCCCGCCGCGGTACGTGGGACAATTGTGTGCGCCACAGGTACCCGAGCCATAGACTCACGTAATTTTAGTTTATTTTATAAATTGTTTTTAATTGCAGTTGGTTTCTGTTCTGTTTGTTGTTTTTTTTGTTAGTTTTTGGTAGTTTGCATTGCGCGCAGAATCGCGCTCAAACAGGGGGGTACTACCCAAAAGAAGTACCTGGCATCCCGTTACGTGGGAAACTCCCACGTTATCCAGTAAATTTTGTGCGTTGTGTTGGACGTGGGTTTTTTTTGTGCGCATCCACCATCCCATCGACCAAAATGCATTCCGGCAGAGAGACTCCGGAAATGCAATTTAATAGCATTAGGTTTTCAAAGTTTTTGTCTGATAGTGTATGGCGGCGAGGAGCCTCCAAAGTCCTTAATAACCCAAACCCAGTAGTGAAATCCACTTTCTCCACTAAGTCCGTCGAACCCATTCGGGGCCATAAATCCATCATGGCCCCTGTGCTAATAACATTTAAACAATTGATACAGTTATTGTCCAAGTTACGTTTCAATGCTGAATTCCTGAAACGGTGCGCCCTTGTTACCGATTCCCGTTAAGGTCCCAAATCAGCCGTGACTGTCGGGCCACAATTGGGAATATCAGACACCGCTCTAAGCGGTACCACTGCTCGAATTGCATGGCAAGCGTGAAAGCCTTGATGCAATTGGTGATTGTTTTCGTTTCCATGTAGTTCACTTAATAAAATGCCTAATGTCTACTACAAAGGGCATCGTGAAATCAGAAGGGCAACCATTGACTATTGAGCAAACACACATCTGTGCACGGCTACTCTTTTCACTATTGAAAGTTGGAGTCCTTTAAGCGACCACCCAACACAGCCGAGCACAGAGCGTGGGAAATACCCTGTTTCCCTCACCCTGCACTTCTGATTTCTTCTCTACTTTAGTTGAAAAAAGTGACCAGAGATCACAGTTTGTCGTTTCACCTCAAGTCGAACACATCGGGAGTGTTTCGCCTCAAGTAAAACAGTACAAATCGCAGACTCTGGAAGAGAAGTGTCTCAAACCCCAAACCTTAATTCTTCACCCTCAAATCAATTCAGTGCTCCAGTGAACTAGTTGGAAACAGTTCCCCACGCGATTAGAATTACGCTACTCAGCCCATTTCAAAGAACATACTGCCCAAGCTAATTGGAAAAAGTGGCAAAATAAACGTGTCACCAGTGCAAGTTAGGCAGGCACATACGAAATTGGCAGATTTATTTACTCCTGCAACTGCTCTCAACGATACCCACCAAACACTGGCACCCCTCACATATTGGTCCTTCGAATAGTAGAAATTTTCCCCATATACTCGTGTCTGGCATTCCTAATTATTTATCCGAGTGAGACCAGTACATTTTGGTCCCACGAACTGGATTTGACCAATCTCAGGAAAGTGCCACCCCCAACATTTGGTCATACGAGCCGGATCAGGTTAGTTACAACTTGATTCTCCAACAGCCCACTTGGAATGGAAAAACTAACCGACTCCTTTCCTTCCAAACCTTTGCCTCTTTCCCCCACCCCCCGTTAAAACGCAGAGGTACAAGGGCAAGGGGGTGCATCTGCAAAAATCACGAACGCGATTAAAAACACTCGGAAAATTACCATAAGCCAGAAGGAGCAAAAGTTCGAAAGAACTAGCTCTCGCGAAAAATCAACAACTACTTTAACGAATATTATCATAAGTAATTGGTATTAAATAATACATTTTAACATTTTTTTTTAAGTTTTTGTCTGATTATTATCCTATTTCATAAGTTCCTATGCTATGTGTTCTGTTTTTCTGAAAATATTTTTATGTATTGTTTCTGAATGTTACTAAATGTTTTAAAAAAATATGTTTTTTTTGTAGTTTGGTAAATATAGTACATATATCAGTGATGTTGGTGTACTATAATATGACAGTTGAGAAGTTAAATACTAATTAGTAAGTAACTAATCCAAACTAACTTTGTGTTCGTAAATACTTTTTTGCATTTAAATACTTTACTAAAAGTATTTGTTAACCAATTACCGGCATATTCTAATTAATAATTAGTAGTTATTGACTTTTTTAATGTTGACAGTATTTGGCAATTGTATTTAAATACTTTGTAGTAATTTGCCCAGCTCTGACTGTTAGTAAGCTTGCAGCTTTCGGCATGATAACATTTGGTGAATGCAATCATCAGGAATAAAATATTCGATAAATCACATCAGTTTCACCCGCGTCGCCGCCAGGGGCGCTAAATGTATATTCAAAATCTATCATTGCAGTTTCAATTCTAAGGAGGGATGTTCTGTGGTGAAAGCCTGAAAGCTGTATTATTGTATTAAAGAAGTAAGGTTATGATCTAGTTGAGTATTTATTCCATTCCGTGATTGCAAAAAGTGTATTTAAAATCAAAGCCTGATAGATTTAGCATTTGGTATGAATTCAGATATCAATCAAATTGAGTAAAGGTGCTAAACTGTCAATATGTTTCAGTTTTTTGTGGACTTGAAGACTTATAATTAGAATGTCAGATCTTCGCAAAACCCTGCTGGGACTGCCTCATAAACGATCGTAGGTATTTCATTGCAAATTAGTAGTCATACAACTTACCCAGTAAGCAAGTTTTTAGTTCATATAATTTCCAGATCAGCATCAAGTTTGGCTTTGTCCAAACAACAGTTTTTACCCCTTAAGTGGCAAGATTATTTCGACAAAGAAGAATATATAGACACCGTATCTGGGCGGCATCATGTATATATCAAAGGATGTAAGGGACCCATCATTCTTTGCCTTCATGGAGGTGGTTACAATGGGCTAACTTGGTCACTTTTTGCGGTGAGATCCCAATTACATAAAACTCTTATTTTTATTATCGTCAAATCTGTTTAAGTTTGGTATTTTGGTTTTATTTGGTTCGAAAGAAAATTTTTTGTATTGTTGTTGCCTGGTACTTATACAGGGTGGATTTGGTAAAATCATAAATGCCAATATAACAATATTGGCATTTATTGTACAGGGTGGGCCAAATTGGACACTTAAATGGAAACTCCCATTTTCTCACCCAGCTAATCAGCCACGTGCTGTATCATAAATGCTAATTTTAACAGCCACACGTTATGGCAACTTAACAGTTCAGGATAACATTTTCGATAACGCAGCAACACAACCGAGGTGTGCTCTATCTCC